TTTTCAAGTAACATGTTTCCATGGCATTACAGATAATGTCCACAAACACAGTGCCACAGTGCCATCTCAACAGCATGCCAACCGCAGAAATGAAGATGGATATCTGGGTATGACCACTTCTCAGGAAAACGACTGACAATGCTATTGAGCCTCCTAAGAACATCTTCTCAATAATTCCTCTCTGAGTAGGCTGCATACTAAACAGATCGAGTGGAACGCTCAGACTCAGTCTTGCCAGCACGTGTACAAACACTTGCATTTTCTCTGGAAAACCACAAGGACCTTAGTGTATTCTTTACTTAGCAGAAGCAACCCAAATGGTATGAAATGGACCACAGGATAGGCCAGCAACTAAGGTATTTTAGCATCACTTTTGTCCTGAATTGATGTGTTTTCCAAGTCCTACATCAGGCTGTACAACTGGTTTGAGGAGGAATCTAGTCCTTGCTTCCCATAGGAGGCTATGCTTTAGTTCACATAATAAAGCCAATAGACGATGTTGAAGAAGGAAAAAACCACGGGGAAGAATATGCGGGACCACCGGTCTATGGCATTCACATCAGTCAAGTCGGGGATGGTGATTTTCAGCTGGGAAGCCCGTCTCCTCAGGCGGCTCTTCTTCTGGGCCACGTGTCGTTCCAGAGCATTTCTGCCAAAACTATGCCTGGGCAATCCGGCTTTCCGATACTGAATGCTGGAGGCGTCATAAGCCAGCATTGTGCTCCTGGGGTCTCCAAGTCCCATCACGGCCTCAGAAGTGGCCATTTCATTTTTTATCTCGAGGGTGCTCAGTAAGATGTTCTCATGGGGGTCCATCTGCAAGGGAGAAGAATCGAAACAGTCAAAACAGTGAGGTTTTGTGGGTGCTTACGATGCAGGCACTCTGATAGGTGCTTAAGGTAGTATTTATTGGAATGGCAAAGACAACTAGATTTGTGATTATGTTACTTGAGCCTGAACTGTGGCTCTGCCATTATAAACTATTTGAGGTTCAGTCTGCCCATCTTTTAAATGACACAGGCATCTAACCTTAGAGGATTAATGTAATGATGTAATTATATAATAGACTGTGGCTACTATCATCTTCATTATGTTTACTTAGGGGACGCAGGAAATTGAAGTCAGGACACCCTTGTAAAAAATGTATAGTCTTGATATGAACATGTAAAAAAAAATTAAACTGTACTAGATAAGCAACAGTGTTAGGGAATCAATTACTAAATTGTGCTTCCCATAGGAGCCACACAACAACTGATAGTGGTAACTATCAGTACTTACCATATATGGCAGGCACTTTTTACACAATTTCATTTAACTGATGTTTCTTAATACCTACAGTTATGACACTTCACTTTATATTTCCAATGTCAATATAAATAGGGTAAAAAAATAGCTTTCAAGAATATAAATGCAAGACATATGTGACTTTCCAAAGTACAAAATAATTGAGAATATGAAGGAATTTGAAAATAATTATCTAACAGCAGACTGTTGGCGGCGGAGGGGCGAGTGGAGGATGGGCTGAGGAGAGTAAAGGGAAGGGGAAGATTAGAGCAGAAAACAGCATGTCGGGGTTGACTTGTGCTCAGTTGAATCTGGGGTCTCAAGACTACAATTAGGTGACTGTACGGATAGTCAAATCATCTCTGTTGGATGATTTTTTTCTTTCAACTCCAAAATTAAAAGATGAACACTGACATCATGATTCCCAAATGTTACATTGTTTACATAATATTTTATCTTGTGTTAAGAAAACTTGTGGTACCTTATTTTTATGAAGCCTCCATTGCTACAGAAAGCAAAACTCTGCCACAAGTTATTCTTAATAACAAAGTATATTTATTTTGGTGGAGAATCAGGATAAATTAATAATAATTGCTAATAATATTTCTGAAATTATAAGACACTAATGGCCAATGGTAGGCACTGGTGACTATGGAAAGATGGAGAGATACGATGCCCTCAGGTTCATTATTATGCAAAATGAAAATGAGAATGTTGCTAATTTTATATATTAATTAGTAGCTTTCAAATGTGGTTTAATGGCCCTGTGTTACCAAGCAAATCAAAAACCTTTTGAGAAATAGAAGCTATAAAATATTCCAGGATACAATAATTGATCAATTAATCTCTACCCACTGATCAGACGTTCTGTAGTTTGGGTTTAGTACCATTTTGCTTAGTGGAAATGCTAACCAAATATATTACTGAAGTTAATTTTAGAATTGTATAAGGTTTGGAAGCAAAACTAAATAAATGTGAAAAGACATCTGTCAAGGAAGGGTCAGATGATGTTTCTACTGATGAGTTTCCTCACCCTTGGGAAGGAAAGGAACATTCAATGCCTCCTGCTCTGGGCCAGGGCTTTGCTGCCACTGTGTCACGGAAAGTACACAGCCATTCTTTGAGGTGAAGGCATTCAATAAATTTCCCAAAGTCACATTGTTCCTATGGGGTGGAGCTGGAATTCAAACTTTGATCATTTGTGTACAAATGCTGGGCAGAGTGGGACCTTTCTGACGCGCAAGGAGAAAGAAACTGATAGAAACGGGAAACCTTTTTTTTCTTGTTATTTCATTAGCATGGTTACTTTCTGTTCTCTGGGTTGTTCACTCTTCCTTTAACCACCTAGGAAAACAGATTTTTAGCAAATTTTTTTTGGCCACTAGGTGCGATGATATTCAGGAATTTCCCTCTCTACCAGTGTGTTTGTTTTACTAGTGAGAAATTATAAAAACAGTTATGAGCTAAACTATTGGCAGCAATGGACTACTCTCAGGGGAAACTTGTTCTATGTTTAAAACATTATCCTCACGTAATTCATTCAGTCTTAGTGGGTTTCCATTTTGCTATTGAAATCCAAGCATTAGATTATATGATTCTTGAAGCCCTGTTACTTATTTTTTCATTTACAAATTCTAACAACACTAATTGAACACCCACTGTG